TTTCACATTGTTGGTTCAAAATTGATATACTTGTTGTAGTTACAAAGCATCAAAATTCCTAGTTGTGACACCTTGCGAGGCGATCCAATAGACTATAGGCTCGGTAGAGCGGTCCAGGCATCCTGTAGGCCTCGTGAGGCGGTCTAGGCATCATGTAGGCCTTGTGAGGCGGTCCAAGCAAACTGAAAGTTCATGTGTACATGCATTGTATGTGTATTGTTGTATGGGGTATTTTGGGAAACTCACTACGCTATGGCTTAAAGTTGTGGATTAAATGTCATTTAGGTACTTATCGGATTGCCAAGGTGGTACTGTACACACGCATCAACCATCTTATGATTTGAGATTTCGTAATGTTTTTCCTATAACTTAGATTTTGAAGTATGATTTATGAGCAAATGGTTTGACTTGAAAGTAACTTCATTAAAGCGGGTGTTTATTCTCTTTTAAAAATCAAAAAATTATTATGGAAATTAGGACATTACAGTGTATGTGTGTTTATGTCGATAGGCGTGCATGATATGGCATACCAATGACACGGTGACAGCTGAGTAGAAAAGAAGGAAATCGGCCTTGATATGAACATTTTGAGGAATGGAGACCGGGTAAAACTGATTAGGCATTGATATGAAGATTTTGAGGAAAATGAAATCTAAAATGCGGAAACTAAAATTTTAGGATATCATATAGCAAACATGAAATTTTATATGGAAATCAAATAATTGGTTAATGTCATTTTGCGTAAATAAATTAATTTTATAATAATAATAATAATACCAATAATAATAATAATAATAATGAAACACCTTTCACCCTGGGTATTTATAAAATAGTATTAGAAACAAGTTTTTAATATTTAAAAATCCAAGTGTGAGAGTTTTAAAAATAAGTTGTGGAATATTAACAATCCCAAAATATTCAAGTTAATAGTTTTTCAAAAGGTGAAGTGTCAATAGGTATCATCACAATGATAAAAGTTTCCAACAAGTCGGGGTCTTCTAAAATCGTAACAACTCTTGAGTTCAAATCAATAATAAATAAGATAATACTTTTCAAAAATGGTAAAACATGATCAAATCAATATGAGATGCAATGAATGTTACTAACCCACCCATGCCAATCTCAATAAGTCCAATCTCACACAAAATGCCAATTGACAATTGGGAAGGGGTGGGGTACTCTCCTCAAGTTGCTAAAGGGGATGAGACTCTCATCTCTATAATCTCTAGGAAAAGGGTACTCCCTTTTTCAATGTCCGGTTAAGTGGGTCTCCACCATCGATCTAGAAACTAGGTAGCCATGATACCTAGTCTCACACACGGGGTAACTAGCCTTGATGTACACATGATGATTATCTAGAAATCTACTCATAACAACTCAACACACAATGGATCCAAGGACTTGACCACTCATCTCATCCTAATATGAATGTATGTATGCAATAAATATGATGCCAAAACCACTTTTAAAACATTTATCAGCTTTTTGATATCAAAAACTTTCCAAAACATGTTTTCATGAATGCAACAAGTATACATGTATGAACAATTAGGAATCAAGTCAAATAAAACAACTTGAAAAAATATGGAAAGTAGTAAGTAGGGATGTATGTTCCCAACAACTTATTTTAATGCCAACTGAACTAGGGATGAGATTTAAAACCAGAATCGAACCGGAAACGAAACCGTTAGAGCCGGAATATATAAAACTGGTTCTGGTTCCAGGTTTAAAGAATGGTTTTATCCGGGTTCCGGGTAATCCGAGTTTGGGTCCATTGGGTCCGGGTAAACCGGGTTTAAGAACCAAAACCGGTGTTAGGAACCAGAACCAATTTTAGGAGCCATAACCGGTTTCTACGAAAAGTTTAAAACATTCACATCTTATTCATTTCAAGTCGGATTGACATGTGGTTTTTTTCAACATGTAGTTTAGAGTTTGTACATGATTTTAAATGATAAATTTACCATTTTTAGTTTTATATTAATAACTTACAGTCTCCCAAAGTCGAGATATCAAAGCTGGAAGTTTTTAGTTTTTTGACAAAACTTCAAAAATGGTCCCTGTGGTTTCCGAAAATATCAAGTTTAGTCCCTAAGTTCAAAAAACCTCACAGATGGTCCCTGTGGTTTCAAAACTTTTAACAAATGGTCCTTTTCATTAACTCCGTTAGCTTTTGGCCGTTAAGTGAAGGGCATTTCTGTCATTTCACTGCCATAGGGACCATTCATGAAGATTTGTCTTATTTTTAAAAAAAAAAACTAATTATTTAATATTAAAGGGTCCCACCCCTCTCTCTCTCTATAGAGAGAGAGAGAGAGAGGATGAAGAATCAAAGGGAAAAAAACCCAAATCTGCACTCTTTCTCCTTCGACCCTCACCTACCGATGGAGAAGCACTACCATCGCCACTACAATTTTCAGACCACCAACCACCGTCATTGCTGCTCTGTCTCTCTCACAATTCTACCCGATATAAGCCTCAACATCATCTAAAAGATGTCGTACTCTTGCAAGATCTTCAACACCAAGAAGGTCGCCAAGAAGGTACGACGACAAAACCCATCACTGATCCATAACTCACTCGAGTAAACTCATTCCCACCACCATTGCTGGAATTGAAATATAAATATTCTTGATTTTCCGACCCCAGATTGGTTCTCCTTTCTCCGAATCCTTCTTCCTAGAGTTCACGAACTGCATCACGTCGAAACTCGCCGGAAAATATGATAAGTTGCTCCTATTAGAAAAATTAAAATAGCCACCCTCATCCATCACCCTCACGTTCTCTATTTCTCCGACACCACCAATATTGGAGCAAAATCACCATAATTTGACCTAAATTGGTAAGCCCAAATCAAAATCTAAAATTGTAACCTAGATTCAAGCGCTGCCTATAATATTTGACCTAAATAGGAAGCATCATCTCCATTGTCGCCTTCCTCTAAATGCTCTGCATCTGCGAGCTTCGTAAATACAAGCTCACCCATCTATAACTCATGAAATCGGTTCTGCCTCCATCAATTTCATCAAGAACCAACAAAAAACTCTAAGGCTTAATTTATTTCACCAGCTTGGGATCTTCCTCCATCGATTTCATTGGGAACAAATCGTTTGATTTTGATGGCACTGTTGTGGTAGCTGACACGAAGAGGTATCTGAAAGGAGGAGGCGATCGTCGATGTTCAAATGTTGGCCAAAGCTTAGTGTTTACCGCAACTCATAAAGAGCTAGAAGAAGAGTTCATAAATGAAATCGATGAAGCTGGTGATGGTAGAGAGAAGCAACTACATAGAGAGAAATCAATGGAGTAGAGGGAAATCGAAGGGAGAAGAAGGAGTATAGACAAGAGAGAGGCGACATAGGTAGAGTAAATGAAGATCCATGGGTTTTTCAGTGGGTCATGGCCGTGTTTCTGATGGCTCCAGTGGTGGCTCCGATGATACTGAGTTGAGGTCTAAATTTAGGGCGATGGCTCCGGCGGTGGGATCGATTGCACGTATGGTTATGGGAGGCTGTTCAAGGCGAAAGTCAGGTGAATAACAAGATATGGATCTTGTTTGATACTGATCTTCTCTTTTTCTTGTTATACATATGCTTTAGAGTAAAGAAATGGTGGTCCAGATGGTTTAGCTTCTTTTGTGTGTGTGTGTGTGAGAGAGAGAGAAGGGTGGGACCCTTTAATATTAAATAATTAGTTTTTTTTAAATAAGACAAATCTTCATAAATGGTCCCTGTGGCAGTGAAATGACAGAAATACCCTTCACTTAACGGCCAAAAGCTAACGAAGTTAACGAAAAGGACCATTTGTTAAAAGTTTTGAAACCACAGGGACCATTTGTGAGGTTTTTTGAACTTAGGGACTAAACTTGATATTTTCGGAAACCATAGGGACCATTTTTGAAGTTTTGTCTAGTTTTTTTTATTTTTATTTTTATTTTTATTTTTTTGTATTCTATGAAAATTTTAAAAAATTCATATCTAATTCGTTTGAAGTTGGATTGACATGCAGTTTTTTCCAACTTGTAGTTTAGAGTTTGTACATGAGTCTAGACTATAATTTTGTCATTTTTTGTTTAATATTCAATGAATTACAATCCCCCGAAGTCGGGATATCAAAGCTGAAAATTTTCAATTTTTCAGCTATTTATTTTTGTACTTTGTATATTGTGAAAATGTTAAAATATGCATATCTCATTCGTTTAAAATCGGATTGACACACAGTTTTTTCCAGAATGTAGTTTAAACTATAAGTTTGTCAATTTTGTGTTCATATTTAATGACTTACAGTTCCCCGAAGTCGAGATATCAATATGAAAATTTTCAAAGTTCAACCCACTAAGTAGTAAGTAATTACCAAAAAATTTCAGTTTTTCCGGTTCTAAACCACTTTATCCAGTTCCACCCTACCCACTTTGATGTTTCTGAGTTTTCCGGTTCTAGACCCACTTTACCCGATACCGTATCTAAAACCGAATCAGAACTGATTCTTATATACCGGTTCGGTTTCCGGTCCTACAAAATCTCGTTAACCGGGTCCGAGTCCATCCGTCCCGGGTTTGACCCACTTTCTTCCGTAATCATCACAAATTGTCTTCTAAGGCATCATCTTATTAATAACATCTTCCTATGTGATCAAATGTGATGCAAATACAAATTCTAAATGTTATCCATATTTCACCTTAAATTAAATTATAGGTCTTACGATTATGATTTTGTTCATGTATTTGATAATTTAACTTTTTTGACATCGACCAAAATTGACCCTATGGTAATATCAAAAATTATTAGCCAATTAATATCACCTTATCTTATTAATAACATCTTCATATGTAATCAAATGTAACATGGAAAAACAAATTCCAAATGTCATCTATATTTCACCGGTCTTACGCATTAAGAATTTATCTCATGTATTTGATAATTTAACTTATTTCACCTTAATCAAAATTTACCCTTGTTAATCAAACACTATTAGCCTTTTAATATCCCAAGCTAATTAGAACTTAACATGTACTACCCAAAAATACTTTAAATTAATTTCCATGACTTAAATTTGGTTGACCTTTATTAATTGAATAAAATCCATTAATATTCATCAATATATTATTTAATCGCATTATAAAGAAGTTTTACGACACAAAGTTTAGCATCCAATTTAAGTTAAGTCCAATCCACTTCTTATAAATCAAAGCCCAATTCAGTTAATCCAATTAATGTCACAGGCCCATTAGCTAGATTGTTTACCCGTCTTCTCCAAATTATTAGCATTTTTCCAGAAAAGTGAATCACAAGCTAAATCTCCACCAAACATTCATTAATTCTATTCTTCAATCTACGAAATCAGCCTCTCAATTCAACTCCAATCTCCGATTACCATGCTCGATTATAAACCAACTACTTAGCTTCTTTCCAAAACCGATGCTCTACTATTCCTATGCTACCAACGAGCATATATCTGAATATAAAGTGTTGATCTCCAGTTCAAATTATCTTTCAAATGAGAATCAGATCTCTAACCTAACAATAAACATGTAGTATGTCGGAGCTTATTGACAATTACCTAAACACCAGAGAGCAATACACCGATTGAGCAGATCTAGTAACTTACAGTCGCCACCACCATCAGAAACACACTCATCGTATCTCACCAACTTCAAAAATCTCACTCCTACCTCTTTGTTGAGTAGCTTCATCACTGGAGATTCCTGGAGATCCTTCGTCCCTCTCGTTTTAGTTGCTTATCTCTCTCTCTCTCTCTCTCTAAAGCTTTCTCGATACGGTTCTCTCTCTAGCCCTTCTGCATTTTTCCTAATTTCTCTTCATTTCTAGTGTTGCCGGAGAATCACTTTCCGGATTAGAAACCCTCGTTTTCTATCATGTTTCTCTCTCTAGTCTAGTATCCTCTCTCTCTTCAGTGTACGAAATGGCGAAATGGTAATACCCGATTGGTTAATACTTAATATAGTGACTTCCTCCCCTCATGCACTGTCTCTATCTTGCTTTCACTAGGAAATTACATTGCTGCCCTTTAGCCATGTGGTGCATCGTACAAGTGAAAAGAGGAACACCAAATATGTTATGTGGTACATTCATAAATCTACCCATTTAATTATGTATTTAAAATTAGAATTACCAAAGTGGCCTCAAGCTATATATTTGCAAAACCCTATTAACTTTAAAAAATTCAATTACAAATAATGCAACACAAATGTAGTTTTTAGTAATTAAACTAAACTTAACATTTATCTTTATTTTCAATCAATTTTATATAATTTAAAATTTCCAAAATAATTCCATTTAAATAGTCCTATTTTGGACAAACCAATCTATATTATTATGTTTACTTTTTAGGTTAATGATGATAATCATTATCATATAATTACCATATAGTATAGACATTATTATTATCAACTAATCATTTTCATTAATTAATTATTTTATTGCATTGTTTTCAAAAAAAAAATTATTTTTTTTACTTATATATATATATATATATATATATATATATATATATTAAAAATATATGGTAGCTATGATTAAAAAAACGTAGGTAAATGATGAACACAAAGGAAAAAAACGAGATAAATAAAAGAAAAAAGTGGTAGCTCCCAATAAAATTTAGTCAAAACTATAAATTTAGTTATCCTCAAACTCTTTTTTTTTAATTTTAAATATTACGATAAAATTCGATTAAATATTACATTTTATTTACTGCATATAATGGTATATTAGTCAAAAGCATAAAAACTGACGTGGTTTAAAATTTACGATTTTTTGTTACATCATAATTTAGGAATTTCATAATAAATTGTATAGAGTTAAAATATCTTATAAAGTATAACACATTTAATATTTATATCAAAAATAATTATAAAGGTTAGGCGTCACAAATAAAAATATAACGGGTTAAAAAGGTGGGTATTAAAAAAATATAACGGGTTAAAACGGCATATGCATTGGTGTTATGCTATTAAAAAAAAGATGTGAAATTATGAACACACAAAAGAAAAAAATTTGGATTAAAAAAAAAAAAAAAAAAAGAAGTCCGAGGTTTCAAACAAGTTCCAATTAAATTTCGTCAAAAGTCTAGATGATTGTGTAATTAAAAAAAACCCTATAATCCAAAATTAGACTTATGTGGTAAAGTAAACTAGATTAGATTGGTGTGTGACATAGGTTGATGTGTATAAAGAAAATTTCATACGTACATTACAAATAATACAAATAATAATAATAATAATAATAGTTTTGTATAATAAATAGTATATAAAGCCACTAGGGTGCTAGGTTAGCACCACCTGGATAAAGTCTATTGACTAAAATACCATGTAATATCTCACATCATGATGATAACCGGCAATCCTCTTATCCATTCTGATAATGGATTTTTTGACACACTTTTTAATAAGTTAAAAGAACTAAAATGAAAAAGAAAAAAAAAATTGATTGATGACCGTATAGATTCAAAACCAAAAATTCCTAAGACAATAGTTATATTATCCTATTTTATATTCATATGTATATAACATGCGTATTTAAAATGGCTTTAATTTAATATTTTAATATATAATTTTAATCATTTAGCTATTTATAATTAAAATTATTTTTGATATTTAAACAACTTGTATTTGTTATTTCTAATTAAATTTAAATTTTAAAAGTAAAATGATTATTCAAATGTAATATATATAT